CAGAAAGCTCAAATGATTTAATTATAAGCTCTGTTTGCCAAGAGTCCGCATCATTGTGCTACTTTTCAAAGTGTACTAAGTGTCCAGGAACTGATAATATTATAAACAAATTTCAACTAATACTTAACCTTATCAATTTTTAATTTGTTATCTACCGGTTTGCACTGAAAAGTAGGATATTTTTCTCCGCCATCTTCTATTACGTCATTTGACTTCTCAGGCCAGTTGACTTCAGGACATTTATTCACTGATAATTCACCAAGAATTTCAGGTTTTCGGCCTGAATAAATAGAATTGAACATCTCCAATAAAATCTTTAAAATCATGAGCGCGGTTTTTTGTTATTAAAACAAACTTTTTTATGATTTGTTTTTTTTTTTTTGTTAAATGGTTTGCAGTATTTATGAACGAGGCTCATGATTAACACTAGAACTACGAAGATTTACCATATACTTATTTCAATAGGTTTTTCTCTGAAAATTAGAAGCGTATGAACAAAATAATGTATAATATTATTCTATACATAAATTTAATAAAAATCATGACATGATCGTAAAATATTAAATAGGAATAAAGAGGAAATGATATAAATAAATGATGCAACCGGTCGTTGTTGTTGTAACGGTTATCTAGTCCCCGCCTTAACCGGAAGCATAAGGACCTCACTGTGCAGGTGTTCTACTTGTATTGGGGACATCAAGAGGCATCCCGTGATAGTCCGGAGTGCAGTGTTCTGACAAGTCTGAAGCTTCTTCGTCTGCGTTGCACTATATCCAGGCGACCATATTGGTGATGCATAGTTTAAAACCGGCCGGCCGATTGCCTTGTATTTTGCCAACAACGTTTCTTTTCCTTTTCCCAAGGAACTGCCGGCAAGCGATTTGACGATTTTGTTGCGCCTTTGTACTTTGGCAGTTATCGCGGTCGTATGAGGAATGAAGGAGCACAGACTGTATAATGTAACTCCTAAAATTTTAGGGTTATTGACTGTCGGAATTTTTGTGCCATCGACTGAAATGTTCAGATCTGGTTTAGGCCATGAACTATCTGGACGTTTATGACGCTAAGTGCTGTGGAAGCTATGCTGATGGTCTGCTAGACTCTGGTAGTGAGTGAATGCCGAGAGTAGCAGAACCTTAAGTGTCTTCACTACTGGGGAAGAAGAGTTATCCGACGATAAGACTCCCCTTTGCTGGCGGCTTTCCCAGGTTTCAGTAGTGAAACCACTCTTCCGACTTTCTACACATCGGGTATTTGAAGAGTGGTCATCGACAAGTTGAGGACCTTGGTGAGATAGCTTACTCCCGTCGAGCCTAAGTGTTTTAGCATCAGCATGCTTATTCCGTTAGGGCCAATGGATTTGGACGGTTTGGTCTTGTTGATGGCACTCCGAACCTCCCCATCGGTGAAAGTGGTGAGCGGTCTTTTGGCAGTTTGCGCAGCCGTCGAGTAAGACATCGTTTGGTCTTGTCAGCCGAAGGGTGCAGTGTAAATTGCTGGCTAAAATAGCTCGGGCAATTCATCGGGTCCGAGGAGACATGGCCATCGAATTGAATATCAACTCGGTCGTCATACCTCCTCGGATTAGACAAGGCCTTGACAGTAGTCCAAAGGTTACTCACACCGGGGGAGAGGTTACAGGATTTCAGATGCTCTATTCGAACCTCCAAATTGAGATCCCTTATTCGGGGATCCTAGGGATCGGCATGGCGTAAGGTGTCGCACTCCTTCGCTGATACAGCTGCTTCGGCTGGGAAATTAAGTGAAGACCGTAAAACATGATGGTGCTTCCATTATGGTATGGGCGTGTTTTTCATACTACGGTGTCGGTCCGATACACAAAATTTCTGGTATCATGGGTCAATTTATGTATAAGGAAATCCTTAAGTTTACTATGCTTTCTTATGCCGAGGAGAAATACCGCTTAAATGGGTGTATCAGCAAGATAATATCTCTAAGCATACTAGCTAGCGGGTGAAATAATGGTTCCACGAAAAAAATTTATGTGAAAAATGCTCCGATCGTCACCAAACTTTACAGGATTACTCGTCAATCTAAAGATTTCCTGAAAGTTTCATTGAAATCGGTCCCGCCGTTTCGGAACCTACTCGGAACATACACACACACTTTCTTTTTATATATAGATAGAGCATAGATATAATTGTATAACACACAGAAGCAAAGGTTTTCGCTTTATTTTCAAGTTTGATGAAGTGCTGTAATTATTATGAACACAACTGTATACATTCTTAATCTAAAGAATATTGGACAGACCAGGACTATTAATTTGAAGCGCGGCCGAAAACCGCCAGTGCAGGTAGGAGTTCGACGCGAATGAATTATAAACACCCTGGTGTTTGACCGACCAGGGTTTTTTTTTTTTGAAGCGCGGCCGAATGCCTCCAGTGGATAAAGGCGTTCGACGCAAAAGTCCTTTGGACACACCGATTTTGGATCGACCAGGGTTATTTTTTTAAGAACGGCTGTCAGTGTAGTATGGGTGTGCGAAATTATTTTGAAAATATACTTTTTTCCTTAAAAAACGCACTACGAATCCGTGTATGGATATAATGTGTACATTTTAATTACAACTAAGTAAATTGAAAAATGTGTTCAAAGTTCATTGGGGGACCTAAACTATATAAATATTTACCAAAACTTACTAATTTTAATTTGTGAATTTTTGGACTTTAAACGCAAATATCTCGCAAACTATAAGTACGTACGGAATGATAAGGTTCTCCAGATTAAGAAAACATACACATTTAGTTGCAGCCGACTTATGGTTTTTGAGATATTTGCATTTCAAGTTCAAAAATTCAACTATTCGTGTTCGTGTTTCTTTGATTTACAATGAATTTTAACTCACTTATATTTTTAACTCACTCATCTAATTCGTTTCTACACATTTATTGTATATTAAATGGTGCATAATTAATTTTAATTCGCGGCAGAACGCCAGTACGGAAAGGAGTTTGACGTGATTGAATTATGAACACCCCGGTGTTGGACCGACCAGGGTTAATTATTTGAAGCATGGCCGAAGGCCGCCAGTACAGAAACGAGTTTGACGCGATTGAATTAACACCCCGGTATTGGAACAACCAGGGTTATTTTTTTTAAGCGCGGCCGAAGTAAGTGGCTTGATATATATTATATGTGCAAAGTGCGTTAAATATATTTGTAAATATATACATAAATTATTGAAAAAATTCACTTTCCGCTCACGGACTTGTAATATTCGCGTCAAAATAAGACGGGGAAAACTTTAGTATAACGTCCCACGCTTTCGGGAATAAAATGGGTATGGGCGGATAGAGGAGATCCTCCAGATCAAGAATATATATAGATATAGCCGCGGGAAACTTATAGTTTTCGAGATATTTGGGTTTAAAGTTCAAAATTTCGACTATTTAAAGTACGCATTTTTCCCATTTCGAATGAGTTATACACTTATATTTTCCACTTTTATATCCACTAACACTTCACTAATTCGTTTGTACACATTTATTTTACATTATATAGTGCAAAAATAGTTTAATTCAATAATTAAATTATTGTTAAATTCTATTAATTCTGACAATAACAAAAGGGTTGCAAAATTTCAAATAACCAGTGTTACCTTATCGACATCTTTTGTAATTGAACTGAAAGAAATTAAAACAGATAATACCCCAAATACAGGTATCCAAAATCTAGAGAAATAAACTATTACAAAGCATTGATGTTAAGTATTATGTTATACCCTCTATGACAATATTTCTTTTTTCTTGTAGAACTTCTTTTTGCGTTGGCGGCCTTCGGCCGCGCTTCAAAAAAATAACCCTGGTCGATCCAAGACCGGGGTGTATCAAGGTTTTTTTGCGCAGAACTCCTTTTTGCGTTGGCGGCCTTCGGCCGCGCTTCAAA